ATTATTGAAAAATCTATGTTTTATTGAACGATTCTAATATGTCCTAGTCTAATTCTAAATTGACCTAGGCTAACTTGGAATTCTAGATTAAACTAGGTCAATCTGGAATTGACCCAATCTATATTAGAATCGAAAGATGCAGGCATCTCAATCCTAAGTTGGCCTAGGTCAACTTAGAATTCCAAGATGACCTAGGCCAATCTGGAATTGGCCTGAATTCTAAGTTGGCCTGTAACATATATATACGACTAGTGATAGAAAATAAACGAGGTGAATGACTTGTCGATAGAACGGCCTAAAAACGACGACCATTAATGGGCCGTTTTACTACCACCATAAAACGGTCCGCTTACGATATAAAACATAGACTCCACCCGGTCACTCCAGTAAACGGGCCACTTTTAGCCCATTCACTGACGTTCTTGGAACGGCAAGTTTACGGTGACATTTACCGAGCGTTCTTACGCCGTTGTCACACTGTTAACGTCTATTCCGTTTGAGCTGGGATTTACATAACAAAAGAAGAAAAATTCTAACTAAAAGAAAATATCGAGTAATCATTATAATAATCATTGAACCCAAGTATCTAAAAGAAATTAGTTTTATTAGAAATTATGTTTAGTATAAAAGAGAAATAACACTCTTCACGAAATACAAGGAAACAAATCAATTCTTTACGCTTCAGCTTGTTCTCATGAAATATCCGCTTTTATGAAGAAGCATTCATTGATTTTTCCTTCATAGCACAATAGAGGTCGCTCGTCTCCTTGCTGTTTATTCACAAGACGGTGGGTGTCGCTTATCAACGAAAGATTGTAACGATGAAAATGGCGTACAATAGTACCTTTAGATTTATACTTCATTTCATTCTAACTCGTAAAAATAAATCCAGCAAATACATTCTTATAATCCTACATGCCTGCAAGGCAAGAGGCAAATTTAACGCAAATACGTCGTTTATTGTCACGTTGGGATCAAGGTAAGAATTCTCAATCAAAATAAGTAATTTTATCTGCATCTTTCAGCTCTTTTAGGATCGATAAAAGTTCGTCGACAAATCTTATTAGATTTTATTGATTTACATACGACAATAACAGAACCAGAATTGGAAAATGAGTTTGCTCAATCGGCTAGTCTCTTTTTTACACGTATTAGTGAGTCAAATTGACTATTCTATATTCTAACTATGGATCGATATCATTTTGTCGATATTTTTCCTCTTAGCATCATGGTTAAGAATAACATATTTATTCGGTACATGTTTAAATGAACAACTACGATCATTAAAAGTCTTTTTACAATCGTCCACGGGTAACAAATTTTTAAATGAATTTCTTGATGTTGGTGGTTTGTTTACGTTACTCGAAATTCTTAATGTCAAGCAAATAAAAGAAGAAGATAAACAACAGGCAGTAAGCAACTTTAAATTATCAACCGTACGGCTGCATCTCTTGTAATGTACTCGTAAATTATCAGTTTTTTCTTACACAAAAAATTTTGTGTTCGTCAATTTCTTGTGTTACACTGCTACTAATTCACCTATTTCATGGATCAATTTTGAGCATTCTTTCATTCTTTTATTTTCAAGCTTGAATTATTAAAATTAATATCTGATAATGGTCGTATGTATAAAGAATTAATTTGTCAATCATATGGTGTACGAGCAATTGCTGAATGTATGGCAAAATCAGCCAATGATAATACTCAACAGGCGGCACAAAATCTGTTAGACTGTTTATCACATGGCAATCCATTATACGAACAACAAGTTTATAAAGGACTTATCGCTATTTTATTATCAACGTCGGCAAAAGCTCAAGAATTATCTGCCTCTTTATTATGCAAAATTCAGCCAATAATTGGTCGTGTACACGCTAGCATTATTGAACCAGTTATTAATTTATTACAATCTCTTCATGCTGAAGTACAATATCAAGCTATTGAATTAATACAGATTTTAATTAAATATGACGAAATAAGCGATCAAATTATTCAACAACTCGTACAATGTTTGAGAAAAGAACAAAATGCATTATCAAATCTTCCCGATGATAACGATGTTGGTAGTAGTAAACCAACGGCACATTCACATAATATTGTAGATAGTTTAAAAGGTCCAATGCCAATTTATGTTCAACAAGCGGCCGCTGTTAAATGTATTAGAACATTAGCAAAAAAGTCAAATGAATTAGCAAATAAATTTCTTCGATTACAAATCGTTAATGTATTACTGTTTGTTATAGGAAATGAAGATTATCCAGAAAGTCAACGACAAGCAACGTTGACGTTAGAATATTTTGTTAAACATTATCCTGTTGTCTATGATTCTGTATTCAAAGCACTTGGTGATCAATTATTTGATATGTTTTTGAGAGATCCAGATAGTTTGTATGCAAATATGACAGTTGTTCAAGCAGATGTTTGTCGATCAAACCGTGTTATTATCGATATGGAAGACAACTAAATATTATATTTTATTATTTTTACAAATTGTATTTGTATTATAAGATTTTTCCCGTTATAAACATTGATGTATTGTCTGTTATTGAGTCTAATATGCTGCCTTCATCGTTCTTTGACACAAAACATACACATTTTATTAAAATTAAGCCAGTGAGTGAGAATAATGCAAAAAAAAAGAGTGCAAACATTCTACAAAACCTAAGACACAAAACATGTTTTACCATCGAATACAATTTTAAACACAATTTGGACGTGCATTTAATAATCTTGAGCCCTCAATTTCGATGCCTGTTTTTTTAATAACACACCAACAATATCGACTTGAACATTGAACGGCAGCATATGATCCGTCATCATCGCACACCTATTGAAAATATACCTATTGATTAAAAGTCTGCACAAGAAAACATAACCCGAACCGACTTCTTGGATCAGATCGGGTCAGAGATCTCTTGTAGTAGTTCTAGTATAGTTTCTACCGTTTTATCCAAAAAGTTTCCTCAAAAATACGTCCAGGTTTATTGTTGTCTTATGTTGATACTGCTAAATTTCTAGATTCAGTCGATTTTTCAAATCAATTTTTTATAGGCTACATACACAGTCTAAAAAAGAATTAATATTACTATGTCTTTTCCTGCTGCAAAACCAACACGTTGTAGCTGGATGACAAATATTTAAACCCTTTTTTTATTATGAAACCTTTTTAGAAGTTTCGTAGTGAGCACTGCATCCTAAAAAGGCTCTGTAGTTGAAAGAAGGTTTTGTACTGAATTACGGAGCCTGCACAAACCCTTAATTCGTTCAGTAAAAAGTCTAAAAATTGTTGGTTCGTTCATTTGACTTATTTTGGATCTATAGCATAGAAAAAAAACCATAAATATCTATAGAAAATCTGAGACTCTTTCGTCAACTCTACAAGGAGATAGAACTGAGATAATTTTTTGTAAAACAGTCGAAATTATACCAAAATCACCTATATACTCAATTATAGATGGTAATGATAGTTATGAAAATAAACTTACAGGAATTAAAACATGATCATCTGTTATTGTTGAATTTAACACTTGTTCACGATGCGTAACGCATAATGATGGTGTCAGGACATTTTGTGGACGAGCAGTATTCCGTTGCGGTAAAAAACGTTCTGTAAAATAAAAGTAAGAATAGTTTCCGCTCGTCAAAAATAAAATGAATAAAGTGAAATAATAATACCTGGATACAAATTTTGCCATACACCAACACACCGAAGTTGATCTCGTTTTTGATATGAAACGCTTGGTCCAATTGGTTTACCAAATTCATCAACACACGAGCATGATCGTCCAACACATTGGATGTGATCATAATTTCCGTTAAGTAGACAAAACAATTGATGTCCGATTAAACGTAGATTTGATACTTTATACAATTCAACAGCACAACCTGTAAAATAACAAGATTGTCAGGTATATTTTCTATCTACTAGGACACTACATTTATTTACCGCAATTCATTGACTCTGCCTCTTCGATTGTTGATTCGAAATTACCTATTTTAATACCACTGGACGTTACACACCAACACGAGTTAAAATTACATTGTTTAGGATAATAAGTGCCATCTTCTGAACATTGAGGACCAGATGTGTTTGTTAAATTCGCTTCGGCTGCTAATTCCCAACATGCACGTCTATGAAAGAAAACATAACAAAATTGATGACTGTCAATTATATGAAGTATTTTTAGCGTACAGTGAAACATTTTTTGGATCAGGTAAACAATTGCATGTCTCACAGCCATCCGAATTTAAATATGAACCAAATTCACAGTAACAAGTGACCGGAACACATGATACAGAGCCACGAGTTTTACATTGACATGTTTCACATCCATTTGAATTTTTTACGTATCCTATACGATAAATATAAAAAGGTGATTACTCCCTCTGACACGGCATGAAGTAATGTATCCTTAATTACCTAGATGGCACGCTGGACACGACATTAGAACTGGACATGTGGGTGCATCAGGAAATACTGATTTTAAACATTCACATGTTGGACAATTTTCTTCATCTTTTGTTGAACCATATTTACATGTAAATGGACAATTTAACACTGGACATTCATCGGCATTTGGTCGAATACAAATGCATGTATTACAATTATATTCATCTTTCACTGTGCCAAAATAACAAGGTGGACAATTTAATTCAGGACATTGTTCGCCAGCATCGGGGTACGGACGTGACTGACATCGACAAATCGGACAACCATTTGGATCGGTGTAATGGCCATAGAGACAACTTTGGCATGACATTATCGGACACGTAATATTTGATGTATCCGAACGCAAACAGTTACAGGTTGGACAGTTATTATGATCAAATTTTCGAGCAAATGCACAATAATCGAATGGACAATCTTTCAGTGGCAAACAATGGGCTGGCGATTGAGTAGAGGGAGGTGATGTCTGAAGCGTTGTCTCTGATAAAGTCGAAGTGGTATTAGAATTAGTGACTGATTCATTGAGGTTTTCTGTTACATTCTCCATCAAAAATGTTGTTTGAGTAACATTGTGCCCAGTAACAACAACAACAACAGCAACAACGGTGGAAGTAGAATTGTCATCTTGGAATTTTGAAGTGTTTTGTGATACTGTTTGCTCCGTAAATGTATTTATTGAAGTATTGGGCATAAATTCACGTACTAAAGATGATGAATCATCTATTGGTAACTCTGTACCTTCATTTGAAGGTGTGGTGTGATCTATGAATGTTTCCTTAGAAGTACCATTAAAATACACGATTTTTTCTTCAACAACTTCACCATAAATGGTAATTGTAACATCTGTAAGGGATTTTATCGTGAAAAATTTTATCAAGTCTTTCTATTAGCTTAAATATTGACACTTACTGGATTTCTGTTCAGGAATAACAGTTTGTGTTAATACTTCATAATGTTCTGAATAATTTGTTGTTTGATTACTAGCGTAGGGTGAGACAGCTTCAATACCTGTTGAATTTTCCATTATTTCCATAGTTGTTGATGCTAAGCTTTTCATTGTCACCTTTATTTTATCATCAATTGTATCTTGTGTTGTTGTTATTGTGCTCATATTATTATAATATTCTTCAACAATTTCAAGTCGATGTCGACGATTTGTTCGTGTTGTAAAATCATTACCAAAACCTTCTGTTGCTGTTGGCAGTGTTGTAGCTAATGGTGATCGAACAGCACTATCGTTTGTAACTAATGTTTCATTCAGTTTCGTTACATTGATTAAAAGCACTGTTGGCCGTTCGACTGTATAGTTTGAATGGGTTATAATTCCTTCTATGACAATAGCTGAGCAAACACGAAAATAACTAACATGCCTTCTATTTAGTAGTAATCAGATAGCTACATACCAGTTTCATTAGTTTGAGAAATAGTTGACGTGTTCAAACTGATATTTACTGATGGAACAATGGCATTTGATCTGGTAGATGGAAGAAGACACTTCACTATACAATGAAATATAATTATAAATATAAATGTTGCATGTATGTGTTTATCTTAATGCTTACTCAAATTGTCACTTGTTACAATATCTTCTTTTTTTATTGCACAATTCTTAAACATAACATTGTCGTTTTTACTTGTATCGCGTGTTATCACTATTAATTCAGTATTATTCAATGGGCATATGGTGTCATTCGGATTCAATGAGTAACATAGAAACAATTCAACTTGGCTATTATTTTGTGCCGATATTATTTCAATAAAACCTAATCAATGTTAAAATGGTGTATATAGAATAGCATTAAAATTATCAGTAAATTGTATAGTGGTAGTGGCACATAAAAATTGTAAACAAAAGGTACAGTTCTATTCACCTTGTTGATGCTGCCATCGTGTATCGATTTGTCCACTTGAATTTGATTTCAAATTAATAAAAAGAGATTCTGATTTTTCACATTCACTCATGCTAAATGGCAAAAAGAAATTCTCTTTTCTGTTTATCATATAATAACATTCCTTATACCTGTTTTCGCCAATAAAATCAATTTGGATTGTATCATTTGATATAGAACCTTGTATGACAACATTTTTCCAGGTATTCGATCCATAGATAAATGTCGTACGAATCAAGCCAAACCATGTTGCGTTCACCAACTATAAAAACATAAAAAACAAACTGGTTGTAGTCATACTGATATTCACTGTACAACGATCCTCTATGAAAAACTTAAACACTCCATTTTTGTTGTGATGTTATTCTCTTTTAAAAATAAGATCCTTTTGACTGTCAACATCCTTCTTACCTCTTCTATATTAAAACTTGCTACATTGTGAGTGGTATTCACTGTGCATAATGGTACCGCAACTAATTCTGTCTTATTGAATTTTACTGGGCCACAGTTACAAATTTGAAATAAAAGTCCAACAAGTATGAACAGCTTCATTCTGATGTTTGTAATACGTCGATAAACGAGAAAATAGCAACAATAGTAATGTAGTCTATCAGGAACGCTCAGATAGTGATGATTACAGTTGTGGAATGAGATTGACGTATAGACAGTAAAAATAAAAGGTCATTTTCCAGCAGTCTATTCATGTTCTGTTATGCGAAATCACAGAAGATGAACATACAAGAGTTCACGTACAAAACAGAATGTACAGAACAGATGCTAAAAGAAAACAATCATCGGAAAAACGGTCATATTATACACATTTCCACACGTATAAGCAAATGTCTAATCCAGAACATGTATCAACGTGTTTATCACATTCGAAGAAAAAAAAAGAATATTCTCTCATTTTACACCTAAAATGGTACAAAAAAAGAGAAATGGTCGGTCTATTTATCGATATCTATTAGTATATGTCAATATGAATACGTGCTTATTCATTCCGCTCTAGGTGGTTATTCTAGACTGACCGATCCTATTAAAAAGAGAAATATTTAGAGACATTAATAATCCATTTCAGAAAATTTGGTGCCTATTTGGAGAGTTGAACTCTATCTGCAGAAAAATGTCAGTGTGTGATAAAGCAGAACTATCTATACGTTCTTAAAATAATTTAGAATCAGTTAGCTTTTTTAATAAAAAGTATAGTTGGTATTGATGCGCAAAGCGTTCTCTATATTTATTAAGAAAACAGGAGTGTTCTTTCTGATTTTTTAGCACCACATGGTCAAACTGAATCATGTTTTCAGTGAAATACGTGTGAGATAAACAAGTCTACTTATTTTTCTCGTTTTAAAGCGATTTTTTTATCAAAGTGTCATTGACATTTGCACTTCTCAGTTAACGATCGATGTTCAAGGTTATTATCATGACCTATTAAATCAAATATACTTTAATGTATATACCTAATTGCTATTCATTGAAAAGCTTATATATTCTAGTTTATCCTTTAAATCGAGAAGACTATATAAACGTAATAATCGTTGAGTTTCACGCAGTTTATACTTGACAAATTTAATGTTAAATTTTTTTCTTATTTTCACAATCTCAAGGCATACTGTTGCTGTTAACGGTATACATAGTTAGGTAAGTTGTAGATCGTGTCTAGAAAGATATCGACAAGTCATTGATAGACGATGATAAAAGCTTTGCTATATTGTTGTGATCAGTCGTTTTGTACTGCTTCACTCAGCTGCTTCATCTCACAATAATTGATGTGTAGTGATTTTCTCTGTATGTTATACGTTATGCTCGATCCATCACGTGTCATAGAAACTTTGCCCATAGATTGTGCATTGTAATTGGTTTATGAACTAATATCATACTGAATATTGGTATGTCTATAACTGAAATGATTATTGTTTTCTAACACAGAAAAAGAGCGACTTTATAGATGTATATACTTCAAGCAACAGACGACTATCAGCAATCAATCGTCACTTCATTACTCTGATCGTGTGTAATTTCGTTGATTTTATTCAGAGAATGTGAGAATATTAACGAATCCATCAGTTGCTAGATTTATGATCGATGTTATCCGAAATCTATCTTCAGGGATATTCTCGAGACGTCCCAAGATTGGCGAAGCAGACTATGAGCACAGAAATTTCGGAGTAAATTCTATTTTTTTCAAAAGTCGGAGTAAAAATTGAATAAGCAGAAGGTATCCTATCCGTAATCCAATGACTTCTGGAAAATTCAGATCTAAAATGTATTATGAATGAAGTCTCTTCCAGGTGACTCACTATCAGCAAATATTAGGTTATCTAGCAGAATGATACACGAGCTCTCTTCAGTTAACAGATGAAACTTGTTTTTATGCCGTCTTGTAGTTATCGTTGGTTAGCACGAAATATACGATGGTAGCCAACTCACATCGACAGTTGTTGGAGGTGAGAAAGTCTTTAAATATGCACAACGAAGAACCAGCATTGTATTGTTGTTGTTTTGATTTAATAAAGGAGAAAGAGTAATACAGTAGTAAATTGAAATAAAATAACACGATAGTAGTAAAAGTGTATACAAACTAAATGCTAAAACTGTATTATGACGATTCTTATAGTCATGATGCACGTTAGTTTCGTCTCACTGTTAAGCATTATGAACACAAAATATTTGTCTGCGTTTTTCTCTCTCATGGACTTAAGAAACATTTTTGAATAGAATATAAGACTCCGTTTAGCATGGCAATCGTTGATGAACTTGAATGTTTATTTTATATTGTGTCTTGTTACCGCTCATTTACTGTATCACACAAAGAACTATTTCTTCTCTTTAACATAAATAGTAAGGAAGATAGAAAGGAACATATCTTTAATTGAGAAATATATGAATGTATGGTCGAAGAACTAAGAACAACCAAATAAAACAAAACGGAAGAAAGAAAGATGACTACATTTCTCTTTTTTTCTTGACCTTTCTTACATATGATCGGTGATTTTTGGAACATTCATGGATGTTCATTACCTCTTCGGACAATGCACAGATGCTCTAAATTTCATATCGGACTATTCAAAAAACAAGAGAGGAAGTCTTACAAGAATTAATCATTGATTAAACCTTACAGCTCTTTCTTACTTGTGCTCCTCCAATTGTGTTTACAAGTGACGTACTTTCTATTAAATAAAAATCTTTACTCGTTCCTAGCTTTATCCTGTTTTTAATGCTAGATTTCTACTATGCGCTAATTTATTTACATCAATTATAACCGTTATTTGCAGTCGGACACATTGTCTACTCTACTTCCTGTCTCTATCGAATATGATGGTTTCAAGTTTCTATTTTCGTACTGTTGTACTAACTATAATCATTGCACTTTCTTTGTTTTGGTTTAATGGTACGCTCTCTTACGTTATGGTTACATGAATATTTCTCACAAATACATCTTCACGAATTCTATCATGACATACTATAACTAGTGTGTGATGATTTTTATTATTGTTAGGACTTTAAACGATTATTTCTGCTTTAACTAAGGCACTCAGAAATCTATTTTCAACACGGAACGTCAGATCTCCACGAAATTCTCAGCAGACTCATATCAAAATTAGATCATAGTAAAATTTCAAGCTTTATATCTCGCGTTTTTCCAGAGTTATTTATAAAACAATGGTCAAAAAGTAGGTGTCGGTGCTTCCCAGATTACTTGGCCATTTTAAGTACTAAAATTCTTGGGTTGGTCTTAAATGTAGCTAAGAGTTAACACAACAACTTAGGAGAGTCGGATTGTTGATATTTGACTTAGTTTCTAAGAATAAGTGTTGATGCCTACGTTTTAAAAAAGATGATTTCGAGAAAAAAGCAACACAGCTTTATGCTTCTTAGAGTTTTCGTCACGAAAATAACCGATTGACGGACGATAGGTAGGCAAGTTCTCTTTATTACATCTTTCTAATCTCTCCTAATTCAGAGCATAACTATGGTCTGAATTAAAATTTAACAATATTGTGATAGACGTTTAATCAACTGTTCTCTATTTTTATTATCACACACACACACAGGAGACTGTATATGCAATGAAAACGTTTGGATTTAATAAGTTAATAAATTTTAACAAAGTTAAAAATGAAAAATAGTCAAACATTTGGGTATTAGCGAAGCATGAAGGTATTCGCAAAAGCTACACAGACACTCACTTCTACGTGGGTGTCTATGTAAATGTCTATAGGTGTCTCCATGTTTTTTTATTAACATTTGAGTCGTTTAACAAAAAAATATCTATATTAAAAGAAAAATTTTTTCCATTATTCTCACTCTCGATAGTGATTGTTTAACGAACGGATACCAAGCTGAAGAAACAATAATTATACATCGTCTGGTCAGACGCTTATATCATTGGAGAAAAGAAGCATATTATCTGGTTCTCACTTCTCGCAGTTTCTCATGACCGACACTAAGAAGATCTTCCCTCTAGCCAAGTTCAATGTGCCACTTCAAATAGTTTATTTGTTCTTTTTCTAGATTCAAGTTTTAAAATGGCTTTACTCGTCCTTTATGTACTTATTATGACACTGTATCACTCGAGAAGTGATAATATCGTTCGTCAATTGCATCCGATTGGAAATAGTCAATTTAACGAAATAATTGTTAATGGTGTATTTAATGTTCAACTAATACAGAGCGAGAGTGAAACATCTGTTGAAATTGAAGCATCTAAAGATGTTCAAAATCATTTTGTTGTTGATATACAAAATACTAGTATTCTCTCGATTCGTATGATACCGAACTATTCATTTTCGTCAAAGATCATTGTCTATATCAAATTCAAAGACTTAAAACAGTACAATATGGAAAATATGGTAGGCAACACCAACAGTACAAATGAGATCAAACAAAATCAAAAGTTTATATTGTATAGCAAAGGTACTGGAAATGTTAATTTGAAATTGAATGTTCCGCTCTTTGAAGCCCATGTCTATACTACGGGTCAGCATATACTTAATGGACAAGTTCAAAATGAAGCAACAATCGTCTATCGAGGAGTTGGTGATATTGATGCTCTAAACCTTGTTACGAAAAAGATGAATGTAAATGCAAATGGTGTAGGAAATATACGTATTATGGCTACAGATGAAATCAATATTGACGTTAGTGGTGTGACGACGGTCTTTTACAAAGGACCATTGAATAATCAAAAGAAATATGGATTAGGAAGAGTTGTTCCGCTATTATTTTGACATAGTTTCGTTTCTTAATTGTACATTCATTAACGGGGATATCGTTAACATAGGTAGAATTAAACATCCTTATACAGTGTAAATTTCATGGTTCTTCGGAAACTTTTATATGCAAAAATAAAGTTAGAGTGCCAGAATATTTCGTATAGGAGGCAGTGCACGATAGGGACGAACAAAGTTGCTCAATGAACGGTCACAGATTTTTCTCAAATTATCAG